CTGTACGATGATAACCAGTCCAATAATAGGTATAAATAATTCGCATATAGATTGTTCTTGTCATGAACTGTACGAAATACCCGTCGATCTTGTAGGATATCGGGGTCACTGACCGACGACTTACTCTACTACGACGAGCGATAAGTATGCTGCACAAATGATAATAAGGTTGGTTCAGGGGACGTCGCCGTCGCTTGGCTCTTTTTACTTCGACAGCGCACCTCGTGATCTCGCACGGTCAAGTACACATTGTACATGGTTGACAGTGGCTTGCTATAATCTCCTTTGCCATTCGACTGGTGTGGACTGAGCACAAACCTCCTGGATTAGCAGATGTTTTTTATGGCTGTTGAATCTGCCTCTACTCGTTCATCCGAATAGGAAACCATGAAACAGCAACCAAATTAACACGGAAGTGAATAGTTAAGTATTATAAAAACTGCACTGCACTGACTTTGAACCGCAAATCAGCCTAGGAAATAAAATTGCCACTACCCCGGAACATTCCTCGTTTATCTGCAAGAGCCTAAGTTTACTGCTCCCCAATGAAACTGACCTGTGGACCAAAAACACTTGCGTCCATCACTCGCACCTAAACCGAATTAACCAGAGACTGTCACCATTCTCAGCGAAATAACAAAAGATCAGAAATACAAGTGGATAAAGCTAATTTATCGCTAGGCACAAATGGACAAAAATGAGTCGCCACATGATTGCCGATCGAACGTGATGGAGAACCCTGCATGATGTTTTTTCATTGGGTGCACCACGGGGGTGCACACTCACGCATGTGTCTCTGAATGGACACATTCGAGTAGAAATGCGTCCCAACTTTTCAATGGGATTGGGGCAAGTGCCATTGCGGGATGGACTGGAGACAGGAGAGGGCAACCGGTTGAGGAAAGACAAGCGCATACGGTAAAGCTGGACTGCCACCAAACAGGTGAAAACCCAAGTTATTCGACAGTAAACAGGTAGACTGGGAAGGAGTGTGAAGGAACACAATTGTTATTCTGTGCAGAATCGGTGCCGGGCCGATCCAGACGCACGTGCTTTTCGGAACCACAATATACCGGCAGTGGTAATCCGCACGTGATAGAGTAGGAAGGACGAGTAGACCGTAGAAAAGTTCAAGAAAAACGTTTCACGGATAACAAGGCGAACTGATAAAAAAGAGAAGGGGGCCAACAGGAGCAAAACTTTGAACACATCAGGCACGCACCGACCTGTGCTGGCCCATTAGAACTGGCAAGTCTTTAAGAACCGAGAGTGAAGAATGAGAAGAAAAAGCAGAAAATGAAGATGAATCTGGAGCGACGTGAAGTAAGCGCAAGTAAGTGCTGTCTTACAGCTAACATAAGCGTTCACCGGGCCGCCTTCGACAAACAACGAAACGGCAGATTGGTTGTTCATTACAGCGGGTAAGTCTTTGTTCCAGTCCGATAAATCGAGTCAGTCTCCGAGATGAAGCGTTTGCGGGGCCTGGAGATGAATGAATCGCGGAAGGTCGAATTACAGTTAAGTGAAGTTAGTCATGTTGTGAACGAAGCCCATATTTTATGTCTATAGCACAGAAGAAAAAAACAATACTCTAACGCACGACACTCTTTTTAACAAGGAATCTGACAGAAAACGGTACTAGTTCCACATGAGCTAACCAAAATCCAATGTGTAATTTGTGTTTTAAACAACGAAGACGGTAGTCGCTAGAAATGATTAAACTCAGGGAAGGAAATCGCCACAAAGTGGGAAGTGAGTAAGCAGAAGAATCGCTTACTCGAGCATCGCGAAACTCGTTTCTGTGAAGTAACTCACACTAGAACTTCATAAGGACCTTGATGAGACTTCTGCAGTCTGTTGCATCGACTCAGTGACAACGAAAATCAGTAAGAGTGAATCGCGCGAGTCTCACAGAATGGCTCGTTTACCAGCCCTAACTACGCACTCTAGTGAAGCTATTTTTATCGCAGTCGTCTGGTTAGTTTGTTGAAACTAATGCAACGGAAGATTGAACTCAGTAGTATACATTTAATGATGTCGAAAGTAAGTCATACAGTGAGAGGCTAACCACTCTAGAGTAATGAATACTGGGTGAAATCCATGAAGCCATGAAGCTTCAAGAGGACTAACCTATCAACCATTCAAACCGGCAGCTCAAACTCAGGCACTCAGCATGGTGAAGTGAGTTGGACGCTACTGAGGTAGACATTATATTAAAGGCCGCAAGTGGTTTAGAGCGGGCAGTTTGACATAGCAGAAAGACATTAAAACTTTTAACATTAGGTTAAGTGGGACTGCTAGAGCTGGACTTTCGGATTCGGACTAGGTAGATTTACGCAAAGCAACAAGTGGCATCTTCGAGTGTCAAGCACGATAACATTCTTGCACCTAATCTGCATGGCATGTTTCACCTGCTACCTCGCGTCCTTTTCTGTTTAAGTGATTTTTATTGTAGGACAGAAAAGAAAACGTTGGGAAGACAAACGTCGTATAGTATTGAACATCATTAATGGTAATCAACGAAAATGTGAAGCAGCAAAACAGTGAATAAAACCCAAAGAAACAAGCGCATTAGTAAAAAACAGCTCACTCATTTGTAAGCATAATAATGCTGAAACTCACTTCGTTGGCATTTCTGCAGCCAATTTCTTTGACACAAAGCCTGCTGCAATTGCCTCATTCAAGAAACGCTCCATCAAAACATAGGCTGCTGGCACATCTAGCTGTAAATCTGGGAGTTCGGCGTACACGCGACGCACACCCAGAGCCAGTTGGTTTGGAGTTATCACAACAGAACCACACAATTCTTTGAGCAAACGTATTATGCGATTGCGTGCGTCGTCAGTACTGAGTTCAATCGCCATAATGATGGCCTACGAAATTGATGGAAAAGAGCATCGACGAAGCATGATGTTGAATATGAAACAGAAGACATGGTCTAGTAGGCCAGTGAATTCGACAGACTTCAAACACCATAGCCAAGCATAAAATACCATGTCAACTGCTAGAAAACTCTGCTTCCAAGCAAAGGTGAATGTGATCACTGACCTTCTGTGATGTTTAAAAATAAGGATTTTGATGCACGAATCCCATATCAACCTTTATTACGAACCAGTGTAATGAACAACAGCCGGGATAGACCCCATAGTCGCGGAGACCTGCCGTTCAATGATGGTGGTGGCGCAGTGGTTTAGTTGCCGTCACCGGCATGCATTGGACCCTATGGTCCGAGCCCCGCCACCGCCACCCGACTTTGATGGTAGGCAGCTGCTCTGTCGTCCGGTTCAATGACACGCCTAACCTATCGGGGTCTTATGTGGTTTGCCACTCCAAGTCCCGGGGCTTAGGTTGCCGGTTTTCACCACTAAACAGTAGCTCCTCGTGACCAAAGGGTTCGCCCCGTCTGCCGTTCATCACACTTAGGTGTGTAATAAAAAACTAAACCCCGGGAATTAGAGTGACGAGCCACATAATACCCCGATAGGTTAGGTGTGGTACTGAACTGGACGACAGTAAAGCTGTCTACCACCAAAGTTGGGTGGCGTACTTGTCATTTCTTATCAGGCCAGAATGCTTGAAAAGATATGTATGCAGAGTTTGATTGTGTGTGCGTTGAACATAGAGGTTCACTTTCTTTCCCCTCCCTCAAAATGGGTTCAATCCCTGTCTACCTTAAATTCCACCCCTAACCTTGTATGCGTTGCATGGCAGCGACCAGTGAAGTTCGCTTCACCTTATTTCGCTGTATGATGATGAGAGACTCTAACCTTGGCCATAGGGTTCAAGACAGGCCGGTGACAGCGACTAACCATTGCGCCACCGACCCCTATTTTGTCTGCCGCAGCAATACAATCACTGGTTATCGTCAGCCTAAAACAGACAAGATGCTAACTGGAACGAATGAGGAATTCAGGTGACAGTAGCAGAAGTAGTTTTACAAGTAAACTTTTTAATGAGTGCAGTAAAACAGGAAGGCGCAAGTATTGCCTACAGGTTAGTTGCGTGGAACACTCGATCATAAACCTTCTGCAAGGAATTCACCTAACCGTTTGAAGTAGCATTACAAATATACCTTCAAGGGAATTATGTAATATCACTATTCCATATGACCCCTGAGCAAGCAAAGAGATGATGATACAGGGGCAATGACCGCTAATTGGAACTAAGTGCGACCGACAATTTTCGGTTCAGTTCGTAACTTCACTGCCCAAACCGGACTGCATTGGATTTAGAGTTGTGGATTCACAAGACGAAGTTTTAGCGATATTTTTTTCTTCTCTGTGGATGAAGAGTCACATAGCAAGAAAGCTAAGTTTACATGGTCTACCGACAATATAGAGGAAACCCGAGTTAACTTCTATAACCTCGTCTCAGTTTGTTTTCGTAACTGTTCCAAACAAATGAACACAATAACCAGAATGATGACCATAAAAATCTTAGCTAAAAGAGGTATTTTGCAAGAAATTTGGATGAATTCTATGAGGCTTGGACCAACCTGGAACACGAGCTCGTGATGGAAATGGGGTGAGTCGAGCTCCACAAGGGCCTCAGTGGCTTCATCCACATCGTCCGAATCAAGATAGACCTTTAATAGTCCACGGATTTTCTTTATCAGTAGTTTAGTCGCTTTTGGTCCAACGGGGACTCCCCAAATATTGTCCAGACGTGAAAATGCATGACTCAGAGTGAGCAAATTCTCCGCTCGAACCAAAGCGCTCATAACCACCTCGGGATTAGTAGTGCTAGTCGCCACGAGACTGGAGGCTGAACCAATGCCACTGCTAACCGTGGTACCGAAAGAAGCTGGCTCTGCACCAGCAGTGCCATTGCTGCTGTCACTTAGATTGCGAGTTCCGGGACGTACAGCTGTCCGTGACTGAGGTGGGGAATCCACGGATGCTGCAGTTGCAGGCGGTGTGTTGCTAGGCCCTGAACTGGCACCTTCTGAGGATGTCTTTGCATCACCATGAGCAAAGACTAGTGGAGCTTGGGACAGAACGGATTTCTGGAACTCAGTGAACTTTGGCGGCAGGATGTCATCTGCCATGGCACGAGCAATAAAGCGTCCAACGTGCTAAAACAAATGAAAAAAAAAATTGAAAAAGATTAGGTATTTAAAAACCTTAAACATGATTCGGTTTGTGCGGACGTAAAAAAAAAAACGGTAATAGATGCTTTACATATAACACCGGCTTGCGGACAAGCATGGTGCCAACGCCACATTAATATTAACAATAACAATAACGGGAGAAGAGGCTGGGTACAGAACAAAGTAAAACCACGGGACTGTTAGAATGAAAAATTACAAATAAATGGGATAACAGTTTTTTTGTTTCATCGTACACCTTTTGAAATTTGTTTAATTAATCGTTTTTTTACGGAGCACAGGATTTCGACAGGCCGACCATACAGCGTTCGCGCCACTGACTTCTATTATGAGTCATATCTCTCAGCGTCTCTAACCAAAGACAATCCTCATCCCTTTGGGCCCCAACCTGGAAGGCGGGCTGCACCCACCGAAGCCAGCTTCTCCATACCTCTGCGCCATGTCATGGTCTGACCGCCGCGGCGCTTCTTTCAGCCTTACCTGGCACATGCGGAGAGCACGGAAAGCTATTCGATGGGCAGGCATACGCAATACGTGAACAAGCCATCGGAGGCGGTGTAGAGTGATTACTTCTGTTAGAGAACGACTATCCACACCCAACACACGATGACAGACCTCGTCATTGCCCACCCGGTGTTCCCATCAGACACGAGCAATGCTTCGGAGACATTGGTGGTCGAATACAGAAAGTCGATTAGCAGCCTCAACGCGGACAGGCCAGGTCTCGAAACCGAAAAGCAAAGCGCTATGAACTGCGGCGATGCACACTCTTCCCTTAAGGTACAGTCGAATGTCGCGGCTGCTGTAGCTTTTGTTATTCGTAATGTGATCTCCTCCCCAACACCAACACCAGCTGCGGTCGAGCTCCTGAGGCACTTAAAGCTCTCAACTACTCCCAGCTGATCACCACAGTGGTTGAGTGCAAGTACAGGCTCTTGCCAGTCTTGAACAAGCACTTGGCAATTAAAAGGTGCAAAGCACATGCCATACCTGGATACCTCGGTCGCCTAGCGGTTCAAAGCGTCTTGGACTACCTGTGTGTTATCACCCAGGAAGGCGGTGTCATCGGTATATTCCAAGTCAAGAACTGTTCCCTGGGAGGAGTTCGACTCCACCGTTTGCTAGACCGGACAAAGCACGACTATTCGTTTTGGCTTTTGCTGACAGATCTGAATTTGGACTATACTTGGCTTCGGTATAGTGAATTGCGTACTCATATAATTCGGTTAGTCGCAGTGGCATGAATCTCATGTTCAGGATCCAGTCACGTTTGTATTACAGTCCAAGGTTAAGGTCAGTTTTAAAGTAAAAGGATCTTTTGAGGCGGATTATTCCTGAGCTATCAGATAGAAGTATGGTGCTCTAGCTTGATAATACGGCTCTCCAAAAGAGAACTTTATACTATTTCTCGCTACTCTGCTTAGCGGAGGTTGTTAGTCGTCAAAATCAAGGGCATAGTTGTGTAATGACTCGAAGTGATAAGTAATTGTTGAATACTCAACCAAGTCAAACACTGACAAAGATGGATATGCTGCATGATCAGCAGCTGAGTTCGTAACACGGATGAGCAGATGAGAATTTAGGAGAAAAGAACTGAACTTACTTCAGGTGCCTTCGGAAAATCAATGATGAGTTCACCGAGTTCATTCAGAACCATCAGAAAGCCTTGCTGAACTTGGGCTTGGTTCAACACACGACCAAATAAATCAGAGAGAAGTTCGGACGTGAGCTCGTACTGAGTTTGTTTATGCTGGAGTGCCAAAGTAATGGCCATATACGGAATGCGCCGGCGTTGATGGGGTGGCAGGTTCATGTCACACAGCGAATCCTAGGATGGGGGATCAGAAATACATGCGACCCATGAAAGAGAAAACTGATAACCATAAACAGTTTTTCCCAAGCAGACAAATTGATCTCACGTAGGATTCATGCAAAAAATATTTGATCGTATGGTGCAATACTGTTGAGTGAAATTCGGTAATGGCGGGCGAGTACCTATACAAATGGAACTGGGAG